TTGAGCAATTTGATATCTGCCAATATGTCATTCGACTGCAAGATTTGAAATTTGATAATTAAGAAATGTATAGTGGAGTAGTGTTTTCTGTTAGATAAACTACACATTTAATATTTTAACTGTCACTTTTATTTTATTTTAGTGATCAATTATTTTTAAAAAAAAAATTATACTTAACATTATGTTTTGATTTATTTTGATCATCCTCTACAGAAAAATTAACATAACTACTGATGTGATGTTTTTTATTCTTTAATGATGACGACAATAAGATTACATGATATATGTATCAAAGACATGTAATTGTATAAACAATAAGATATGGACTATGATATATTTAAACACATGAAATTTAAATAATTAGTTTGCCATGATTAAAAAAATTGCTCAAATGATATATTTAAACACATGAAAAATCATGTATCTAAACAATGTGAAATTTAAAAATTTCATGAGCTTCTCAAATATCATATTGTTTATATAAGAGATTTTGAGTGTTTAAATATAATATTTTAAATATACATTAATTGAGTGGTTGGATACAATAGTAACATATAAATCTTATCATTGTTGTCCAACCATTGTTTAAATATGAGATTTCGAGTGTTTCAATTTAACTTTTTAAACCTACATTAATTGAGGGATTAGACATAATAATATATACATATAATACGTTATTCAAAGCTAACGTTTGAGAAGATGCAGGGGGTGAAAATATTAAGGGTAAAATACATCATTTATTACTAAACTATACTCTTTCTTCTATTTTATTCATTGTACTTTTAATTTTTTTTAATTTATTCACTGAACTTTCAAATTATTCATATTTTGATCACTCTGAATTATTTTATTATTATTTCAGTATGACATATTATTATTATTATTATTATTTAAAATAATTAAAAATATAAAATAAAAACATAAGTTGTTGAACGCCATCGCTAACCGTCGTAGATGGTCGTCGTTCGATCCCAAATTTCATGGTCTTGTTTGTTTCGACCCCTGAGTCCGAATCTGGTGGTTGTTTCACCAGAAAATGTCTCAAACCCCATGAATCTCTATTGAAACGTTTTGGCTTCCTTACTTTCGATCTCTAATTCGTGGACTTCAGAGCCAGTTCCGGCAAAATGAAGTGTGGATTTGGACTCTGGGTGTCGAGACGAACAAGGCTCATAAAATTTGGGACCGAACGACCACCATCTACGGCAGTTGACGGTGGTCGGCGATGGCATCCGATCAACTTTTGGTTTTATTTTTTATTTTCAATTATTTTAAATTAAATAATAATAATAATAATAAATGTCACATTATACAAAAATAATAATAAAATAATTCAAAGTGATCAAAACAGGAATAATTTGAAAGTCCAATGAATAAATTAAAAAAAATTAAAAATATAATAAATAAAATAAAAGAGAGAATATAATTCAGTGAGAAATGATGTAATTACCCAAATATTAATCATTGGGATCAATATTGTTTGTTGATTAAGTGAGATTGTTTTCTAAACTCAATAATGAGAAATAATTTTTTCAGAAGAAATATCTAATGAGAAATGATATGGAGAATGGCCTATATTCAAAGTCCATGACTCCCATGTGCAATAATTGAGTTGGCATGGCATGCTTAAAATCTTCCCTTGTTTAACAACGTCATACAACCTGTGTCCTTTGCATTCACACCAAGCTACTACTTGCTTTTCTATCTTTTTTTCTCTGAACATGATAGCTGAATGATAACGGAGTCTTCTTATGAGAACAGTATACACAGGGATGGATCCGAAAGGGGTAAAGACCGTTGTTCTTTTATAAATTTTAAATTATTATATATTTTAAAAAAATTAGTAAAAATATATTTTTATCCTCTTAGAATTTTATAAATTCATCTTATTCTATAATTTTAAAATTTTACTTCTTTTAACATAAAATTATGCATCTCTCCGTGAATATATAATTTGTGTAAAGCTAGATAGCTTAACTAGACTTTAACTTTAACCATGGTTAATTTGTTTGGAAGGACGCAAAAGAGAGAAGGGTCAATGAATAGAATTTGGATGTGAAGACCATCATTCTTTCTCTGACTTTGGACCCTGCCGCCCACTTCAATCACCAAACTTAACAGTAGTAGTCTTTGGTGCCTAAAACTCCAGAATATTATTACTAAACCTTATGAAACCACTGACTAATCCTTTGAAAAATGTTGATACACATACTTATCAACTCATTTCGTGACATTTGTCCCATAACTTCCAACATTATCCTATGCAAACTATCCTTATCATCTTAACAAATTAATTGTAGAGACTTACAAAAATTCACGTATTTATACATATTTAGTTATTGTTATGTTATTTAATATATATATATATATATATATATATTAACCTCCACTTATATAATGTTAAAACTTTTTTAGTTTTATATAGATTTAGAACCATTAGATAAGTGAAAACTGATGAATGAAATTAACTTTTTGTTTTTCTTTTAGTGATATTTCTCAGTTCCTACTGTAATCTCAGTTATTTATTTACACATCTAATGATCCTAATTTATATAAAACTATAAGAATTTTACATTTTGTAATAGAATCATATATATATAATTAATATTTTTTTTGAAAAAATTCTAAATCTAATCTTAGTCAACCTAGAAGAGGGAAAGAGGACTCTAAGGAAGGAAGAAATGCTTCTAGTGGTCTAAAAAAATATGAGGGAATAAAGATGAATAACTTGGTACTAATCAAATGTACTTTCTAATATAATAATATTTAGTTAATAATTATTAGGTGTAGTGATAAACCATATAATTATAATTAGTTAATAAAGCATCATATTTCTATGATAAAATTAAAAAAAATTGAACCTTTGAGATGTGTTATTGAATAGAATAATCACAAGTTATAAACATATATTGTAAAAAAAATATGGAAAAAATAACTAATCTAATTTGGGCTTGGAATGACCATTAGAAACAATGTAGGTGAGGGATCAAAAACAATTGTGGGTGTGGTTACACTAATTTGGGCATACTTCCTTACTTTCGATCTTTAAGTAAGATTAAGGATTCGAACCCTGACGTTTGCAAATGGAGCAAACTGGGTTGAAAGGGTCGCCCTCGTCTTTGCAGTACGCAATCTAGATTAATCGATCAATAGATTAAATACGAGCTATTAATTAAAAAATAGAATCAAATGATGTTTTCTTATAAATAAAACTCATAAACCAATTAAGGAATATTTAGTTTGAAAATTATTATTTTGGTAATAATTTGTTTTGAAAATTTATTTTTATGTTTGATTTGGAATAATTTTTATGAAAAGAAAAAACATTACTAATAATATCATTTTTTAGTTAAAATAATATAAAGGTTACTTTTATTATTTTTGAAGTATTTGTCAATTTCAACTAAATTAAATAATATTATCCCTAAAATAACAAGTTTTCTTCATTTGGATCTTTTGTTTTATATTTTTACCTAGATAAATAATTATTTGAAGTATACTTTTTTTAATTTTTAATCTATATTAATTTAGTATTTACACGGTGTTATATATACATTTTAAATAATGTTTACTATATTTTTATTAATAGTTCTTATGATGTTTGTAATATTACTTTTTAATATCTATTTAATAAATAAATTTAATTGAGATAATAAAACTTGATTTGAGTTTAACTTATTTTTATACTTTACTTAACAATCATATGACAATGTAATCGTCATCGGTTACTCAGGTCAGACTCTGTTAAATTTAGCTGGATAATGAACATGTTAAAATTTAAAATTTTGGATTGCCTTACTTTTAAGTTCTCCATGAGCGGTTAACATTAGCATTGACACTTTCTAGAAAGTTTGTTTATGATTATGGAAGGATATACGATTTTATGTTAAGAGATAAATTTATAAAATTTCAGGATGAGTGAACTTATAAAATTTTAGAGAACGAATTTATAAAATTTTAGAGGGTAAAAATAAATTACCAATAGAAAAATAAGTAAAATATCTAAATTATATGAGAATTTTAAATTTTTAGAGGGCTACCAACCCTACACCTTTGGTTCATCCAAATTATGATATAAGGGTGAGTTTTTAACTCTAAAAGAATTTTTTTAAATAATTTAAATGCTTATTTTTAATCACTAAAAATCAATGTAAAATCCTATTATATACTATGATAAAGATAATATAAGATGTTTGCTTATATAAATTTATTTTTAAACATTATTTAATATACTAATTATATTAATGATATGATAAAATAAATGCTTTGTACAATTTAACTAGTGTAATAAAAATATTTCTATGAATTTTCATGTAAATATTTTTAATTTAATAATAAATGTTTAACTTACTAAAAATAAAATCTATCACAAGAATAATTTCATAAAATTTGCTTTTATATAATCTCATGTTTTATCTTATAAATAATATAATATTATATAAGACATGATCCGTTCATGTATCGTAAAATATTTTAATTTTATATTATGTAAACAATATAATTTTTATGCAAAAATGTAAAAATATGTACGAATTTTATTAGAAAAGAGAAACAACATACACAATACATATCGAAGACATATTTATACAAGTTGATTGAATGGCGACGACACTCGTACGTAGGTTTTATCTTCAGTCACTCGATAAATATATATTTAAACATTTAAAAATCATATATAAACAATATCATATTTAAAAAAATCATAAAAATTTAGTGATAAATAATTTGATATCGCTTAAACAGATCTCAAGATCGATGTTTGGTGTATGAAAAAAAATTTACCGAGAGATTTGTTCATCAAAATCAAATGTACGACACATAACGATTCAGATTAATTAGTGTAATGTCTTAAAAAAACTTAGAGTAATAAAAAAGGAACTACAATTCTGAAAATTACCAGTATAACAATAAAAGCATTTTGGTAATAATATTATTTGGGTGTCATTTTAATTAAAAGAAAAACTTAAAAAAATGATTATTGCCATTATATTGCCAATTTTGTCCCCACATTTTCCTTTCAATTATTGCAGTTGAAAATTACCCGAAAACTACATCTCCCATCCAATTGCCTCTTCCCCAATTTTGTGGTCTTTTTACCATTGTTTTCCTTTTTGTTTCCTCCTTATCATGGAGAACTCACCAACCATTATCAGGCCAACACCGCCACCGCCGCCGTTTCCCCAGCCTGAAAACACGACTAACATTACTATCATCAGCTCACCTCCGCCACTACCTCTCTTCTCTTCACCACCCCAAACTTTTACTATAGTGAACATCTATCAGCCTCCTCCTTTCCCTGATTCACCAAGAAGCGTTGATTTATCTCCACTCGAATTCATCCTCGCCCTTTTGGCTGTCACAACTATCGTCGCTTTGATCTACTCTTTCTTTTTCTCTGTCAAATGCCCCCCTTGGTCTTCCCGGGACCGTCACGATGAACCTCGAGAGCTTCCTACTGACAACCATGGAGGTAGTAGTAGTATCGTTGAAGTAACCGAGACGAGGAGGGAGCCGGTTTCGGGTCTCAAGTATCGAAAAGAGACCCATTCTAAAGAGATTGGGAACGAGTGTCCCGTTTGTTTATCGGTGTTCGCCGACGACGAAGAAATAAAGCAATTGAGTGAATGCAAGCACTCGTTCCATACTACTTGCATTGATTTGTGGCTTAACAATCACGATAATTGTCCGATCTGCCGGGCTCCCGTTGCTGTTAAGCGTCCTGTCGGTAACAACCGTACGCCGCCGTCTGGTCCGGCCAGAGGTAGTGATCACCATCAAGGTTTACCCGATGCATCGACGCTGGTTTAACGCGTTTATAGTTTAATTTCTTGATTTTGTACCCCCTTTTCTTCCTTAAATTTTGCTCAAACTCCAATAATCGGTAGCATAAAACTACAGAATCCTGCTAGTATAGAGAATTCAACCTTTAAATTTCACTTATATTTTTGTGTGATTCTGCTATATGAGAACTGAAAGATGGGTCGGAAATGGAAGTAACAGATCCCCACGTTTTCTCTACAATTCCTTGGTTTTTCCATTTAGGGCTGGCCTTGATTCCGATGATTGTGGATATTTGCAGGAAATTCTTGGTTCTCACCTACCTCATTTATTATTTTCTTTTGTTTAATCACTTGTAATTTTAATTTATTAACTTATTAATCTATATCAAATACTATAAAAATCAATTAAGTAATAATTTTCTAATTTACTTTTTTTCTATTCAAAATATGATAATTTTGCACGAGTCAAATAATCTCAATGGTAAAATAATTATTTTTGTTTCTTGAAATCTCAAATTCAAATACTATAAATACTAGAAATATGAGTGTTTTTTATTAAATAGTTCTAAATTATCTACAATTAGATATTACTTTATACTTATTCAGATTTACCGATTATTAATACACATCTATTACTTTACCACAGGGCAAAAAGCAAGAACAGTCGGGATCTTAGACGCGTGATCCACATTTTATGCTTTTAGTTAATGACCTTGATGGCACCATGCTCGTTAATTAAACAAGTCATATTAAATCACCAAAAATTTGAATGGTTAACTGTTTATTATTAATCTTTAATTGAATCTTGATGTTTGCTTGGTTGTAATGCCACAATGTCAATAATGTTCTCCTTGCTTGCCTATGTGGTAGGGTGGATATACATTAAATCCCAAACCTTGACAGCTTAACTGTCATTTTTTAGGTTCAAATCTCGTATTGGTATCTAACTTTGGTAATTTATCAATTCAATCCTTATGTTTCATTTGATCAGTTCTAGTTCTTGTATTTATCAGTCAAAATTCTCTTCGATTAAGGCTTTGTTTGGTGGGGTAAAAAGAAAAATAAATAAGGAAAATTGAAGGGGTTAATGGAAGAGAAAGAAATGTAATTTTGTCATTTTTTTTTTTTTAATAGGAAAGATGCTAGGCCTTTACATTACAGAGATAGGTTTTGTCAAATGGGGGACCCCAAAGATCTCTAGATAGAGTGGCAGCAAGCATGAAAGGAGCTTTCGGAAAATGCGAGTTGAGCCATCAGAGTCAGCTGGAAGTTTGGTAAGAGAGTCGGCGACAGAGTTTTGCTTCACGTTTGATAAAACAAAGTCTACAATCCAAGGTTTCGGTAAATCGAGCAATTGGACGAACGAGCAAAAGGAGACACGAGTCTGCTGAAGGAGACGTGATCAATTTGTACGCTTATGTACTATCTGTTTGGCATTGAACACGCTCAAAAGCCAAAGGACCAGGCGAGGTTGAGGCCTTCATAAATTCCCGATAAGCTCAGAGGAAGGATGAATCGGGCAGGTTGGAGGATAAATATTTTTGTTGTAATTCTTTCGGTATCTAAGACACACTCGTTTGTGGGGAGAATAACGCTTTCTAGGACGGTTTTACGTAAGCCATTCCGATTTACTTCATGCAAACTATTTGGATATCAAAGGAACCTGCGAGGAAATGGAGAGATAATTCGGAATTTCATTTGGGGTGCTACCAATGACAAAATAGGAATTCATCTTGTTGATTGAAATATTGTACAACCAATGCTTTACTTGTAATTGGGCGAAAGATTGCAGCATGTACCCCACAGGCTACGTTAGGAAATGAATGACTTCCGAGTTGGCGATGGGATGAGCACCGTGTGTTCTCTTCGAGTCGGCTTATGGGGCGCTTGACATGACCGAGGATGAGGGGATTGAAAGATGCTGGAAAACTATTGGAAGCTTAACGAATAAGAAGCGTGTTGGTCGACATGTGACTAATGGGAGTATGTGTTGAATATGCAATGGTGAAGAGGAATTGACAACGCCCTTTGTTACTGTACAAGGCTCGCTCGACTTGAAGCAATTGATACACAAGGACAAATTTCCTGACTTCATGTCAAGCCGTGGATGGCTTGGTTGCACAAAAACCTGCGGGTACAAGGTAGACATGTTGAGGAAGAGCGACAATGGGAGTTAGAACCCTCCTATCGAATCTGAGGTTACTAGTATACTAACTTCGCTGTCAATAAGATATGAAAATTGTCCTTGTCAATTCAATAAAAACTCACCTATCTCAAAGTGGGAAGTAGAATTTCTTTAATAAGAAGGTAGACGATGCAATGGTTACTATACTTATAGCAGTTCATGGACGGTTAATTGTACCATTTAGCTTAAACGGTCGGTCAATCGTTATAACGGTTACGAGATTTTTCTAATCGTAATTAACCGTATTAATGGTTAAGTTACAAGTTAACTTACGGTCAACCTATTACAATTATTTTCCAAAATAACACAACATGAACATTTTAAAGTTTAATACTAATACTACAAAAAAAGTATAGCACTTAACACATACTTACACCAAGTGTAAGTGAATAAAGTAAAAAAAATGCAATACTTAACACATACTTACACTTAGGGCTATAAATGAGACGAGACAGATCGCGAGCTACTCGAGATCGACTCGATCAAGGCTCGATAAATACTCGATCGAATGGACTCGACTCGAGTTCTTAACGAGCTGAAACGAGCTACTTGATATTTGACTCGAAAGCTTGTGAGCAGCTCGAAAATATATATATTTAAGATTTTATTGAAAAAAACAAATTATTAATAATATTAACATTTATGTATTGATTTTTTTTTAAATACAGTAAGATTTTCATGTATTTAAGGTTTAGGTTCGAGTTGAGGCTTCAATCGAGTTAAGTTTAAGATTTTTTTTTTCATTCGAGCTGCTCACGAGCTTTAGTTCAGGATTTCGAGTTCGAGTCGAGCTTGAAAATTTTAGCTCGCGAGTTTTTTTGAGTTTCATTTCAGAGTTTTCGAGTCGAGTCGAGCTCAGCAATACTCGAGCTCGACTCGGGGTTTACACCCCTACTTACACTGGTGTAAGTATGTACATCTTCCAATATCTTGGTACCTAATAATAAACACATAATTATATTAGTGTAAGTATGTTTCTATATTTTCAAAGAAATAAAAAAATTAAAAATAATAACAAATATATATTAAATTATTTGTGTACAAATAGGGCTAAATTGAAGATTGACCAATAAATTTTAGGAATAGTGCTAAAATTTACTTCTAATTCTATTAGTATTTTCCCTAAAATATAAACTATAAATTTATTTATTAACAGTTAATATTGGTTAATCGTTTATCAAAATTCATAACCGTAACTTTAACCATTAACTATCATTTTTTGCGGTTCGGTTAACCGAAATAGTTTAGCATTAACGGTTCGGTTAATTAACTTGTTAAATATAAGGGTTATTGTTGAAAACATTTTGATGTTTCGATATAACAATAAAGTGTTAATGAATTTTAAGATTTTATATTCAATTTCAATATAATATTCGATTCAATTAATCGAATATCACAAATATTACTCCAAGTTTCAAATACAATTTACTCCTTACTTAAATGAAAATTTGTATTTACTCTTAAAATATTTTGAAACAATTTTTACAAAGTATTTCGAACCATAATCAGTCAAAATTGAGTTTTAATAGGGAAGTACCAATACCTCTTTAACGAGTATCGATACCCTCAAACATCGAATGCGAAAGAGGTACTGATACCCTAGAGGGTATCGAACCCCTTATATAGAGGTACTGATACTTAGCCAAAAGGTACCGATACCCTTCATTTTGATTTTGACTCCGAGAAATAACATAATCAAAATGGGTACCGATACCATGACCGGTATCGATACCTCTTTACATAGTATTATCGATACCCCCTTGACAGGTATCGATTGCAACTGTTGAAATATTTGAATTTTATAGGTAGTATCGATACCCCTATTAAGGAGTACCATACCCATACGCTCCCAACAACTTTTGAAGTGGAAAACATACAACAACGACTCTATTGACTTCATGATCATCCCCAAAGTTCAGAATTCATTCAAGGGGTATTTAAACAAGTCTTGAAGCCATTGATGAATAACAAGAAACAAGTTTTGAGAAAGAATTCAAAGAGAGAAAGCCTTAAACTTATTGTTTGAGCATTCAAGCCAAAATCCTTTCAATATTCATTTTGCTTTCAAGAACACCATTTGTGCTCAATGTATTCATTCTTGAGTGTTCTTTCTTTGTTCTAGAATTGAGCAAACATTCTACCTTGTGAGATTTTTCTGTAAGTTTGCAAAGTTTGTAATTTTCTCTTTGAGAAGAGAGTGTCTCAAGAATATGGGGTATAATTCTTGAGGGAGTTGTAAGGTTACTCTTCGTCCCAAAAGAAAAACAAATTAGTGAATTGTGGAAAATCCTTAATGTGGATAGCTAAGGTAGTGGACGTAGACTTTGGTTGAGAAAGTCGAACCACTCTAAATTATTATGCAAACCTTTTCTATTTTCTGTCAAAGCTTCCACCAAAATTTTAATTTCCAATTCACCCCCCTTGGCTATTTCATCTGATCGATTAACTCAATAATTGGTATCAGAGCTACACTCATTTGAAGGTTTTACCACCCCTTGAGAAGATCCGGGAAGAGTTCAATCGATATTCAAGTCATCAATGGTCTTTGTATCAACTTCAACTTCGTTCTTGATTCTCATCCCGTCAACAAGCCTCCATTCTTCAATGGTGCTAACTACACCTATTGGAATAATAAGATGAAGTTCTTTATTCAAGCATGTGACATAGGAGCATGGAAATCATGATGAGAGGATACTCTGAACCATCCACAGATCCGGAAATATGGAGTGAAGAAGAGACAGATTATTCTAGCTCAACTCAAAAGTTATCCATATTCTTTTCTGTGCACTTGGACCAGATGAATACGGGAGAATATCATCTTGTTCAACCTCCAAGGAGTTATGGGACAAACTTCAAGTCACACATGAAGGAACCGACGAGGTAAAAGAAACTAAAATTAGTCTTCTTACTCATAGCTATGAAATTTCAGGATGAAACCAGATGAATACATCAAAGCTATGACAAATAGATTTTCCGTGATTGTCAACGGTCTCAGAGGATTTGGAGAAATAATCCCTAATAAAAACTTGTGAGGAAGATAATTTATTCTCTTCCAG